ACCTTGTCTTTTAGAAAACAGGATTTGGACTAATTTTGGCATTTTCTTGCAAAGACCAAACAATTGAACTGATTAAATCCTGAAAATAATCATTAGATGCAGCTCCAGTTTGGTACATCATTATTCTTGTTTTGACTTAATAGTGTTATCACTGCCCCACTAAAAATACAGTATATACAAATACCAATGGCCAATTGATCTTAATGAACAAACCTAAAACGTTTCAAACTACATGACTAATAACTTCTGCTGAATATTGATTTGCTTATATTCTACATTTATCAAGGTTGATGAAACTACAGCTCATTAGTGGTCTCTCAGGCAACAAGTAGAAAAAGTTATTTCACCCACTAAATTAATGATAACATGATGAAACTTTATCCTGATAAATGAACAGTCACTTTTGCTTTTAATACAAATTACAGATGGCTTTCCTGAAAAATTAATCGTAGATTGTCTCTGCAGGAAAACGTGTTGAACTTATTTCTGCACTGTCTGTGAAGGGTAATGCATAAAGACACTTGAAGCTGGAGGCTGAGCTATACATTTTTTGGTAATGAATCTGGGGTATTGATCCGATTCATTGTGACACAGCAGACAGCCCATAAGCATGAAAAAAACATTTGTTTCAGCAGAGAGTTTAACTCGTAAACAGGCCGAGGCTCACAAAACATTAAAGAACCTCATGTCAGTCCATTAAACTGTTAGCAGAGATGGTCAGAGTTAGGAATTATTCATATATACCATGTTTTAGGTTATCATGAGTCAGTTTTATGTATGTGGAGTTTACCACAATTTGATCATGTCCAAATTATTTTGCTGTGTACGTTTGAAATGTCAACATCTGCACTTATAGTTGTAGCTATGTACTATATACTTTTCATACTTATAAATATTCATCATGTGTATTTTATACATACATTATATTTTTCTCCACTAGGGATGAATGAATTGAATTCAACAGAGTGGTATAGCTCGCAAGATGTTTGGCTGGCCCATAGTGATGAGGATGGTGATCTCTTTTTTTAATCAGTGGTAGTGTAATTACAGCCCAGCTGAAATATACTTATATAGAGCCTATGTATGCACAAAATAAATGTAATTGAGGCTCAATATTTTACAGCTCAACTGTAAACTTTATCATAAAATAAGTAGAAAGAAAAAGAAAAAAACTAATGCAACCAAAAAGATATAGTTTCTTGAATTAAGAAAATAACTTAAATGCACATCTTTTCTGCATCGTTTATTCTGGAAAATAAAACTTTTCATATGAGCACACATAATTAAAGATATGTCTGGGAAAGGCTAATATCAGTAGATTTGATCAAAATGAACAAATATATCGGACAAACTCCAGTTATTATTGCAATTATTATCATTATCCTTCTGTTTTAAATGTATTGAATGATCAGTGTTTTTGCAGTATTGTGTATTTTCACTGTATCAGGTGGTGTTCATCAGTGTGGCTGGACTCTGCTGTATGTTTCACCTTTTCACCGCTGCTACTTCTAGTTGCAGATTGTGACTCATCTTTTTGTCCCTGGTGAATCCACAAGTCTGGCAGTGAGGTCGCAGGACATTTTGGATGAGGGGCGATGCAGTGTGCCATGGCCTAGGTCACCACTCGGCACATGAGGGAACTCCTCATTGAACAACAGCACGTTTTACAGCTGCTAAAAACAAAGATATTAGCAGCTCATAAAACTTGACAGTTGCACATAAAAAAATGAAATGCTGTGCTCCCTTGGCAGTGGTATCACATCATTATCGGCATGAGCATGTGAGGTCTTTGCCACCTCAAATCCGCCAGCTGGACTCTATTGGACCTCTCAAATCACAACAGATCTGTTTAGATCAGTGTAGCATACGTAACATCTATCCCTCACTTATCACTTTTTAACCTTTTGCTTTAACATTAAGTCAATCTTGTGTTCACATATGTACCATTAGGCGTCTCAGCCTCTTGACCTGTTTTTAACCCTGGTTTTACTTTTTTACCACTCTTTGGTTCTCCTCTCCTAATACGATTTCACACTTGGTTTTACTTTAATTATTTATGTTTATTTATGATATATTGTAAGCTGTCCTCAGGTGTCTAGAAAGGCGCCGTGAAATAAAATTTATTATCTTAAAAGAAGAGTTTACGGAGAGATGCAGTGTTTTTACCGTTTTAACTTAAAATACTGATATCTCACTTGTTTTACATTGGCATGTTTGAACATTACATGCAATAGCCTGATGAATCCAATCCAAGACTGCAGGTCAAACAGTACAGATGATGGTCATATTACATATCTAGTCCACATCTATCATTTTAAATGTGTTTAACTTAGTTCATGTGGGTGTGGTGGAAACAAGTCAAGTCCTGCTGCTGTTCATTTAATCACATTTATTAAGACAGTGGCTGCGTCATGTCTAGAGACATCCAGAGGCACATCTGCTTCAGCATCAGGTGTTAGTCAGTGACCTCGACCTCAGTTCACACAATGAGAGTAAAAACACACCATGCATGGTGCTGGCAGAGGCAAGAAAAGATATTTACTCCAACGGTATATCCTGATGTGGGGGGTTCGTCTCATTACCACACTGTCTGCTCCCTAATTCTCCCCACCGACCACAACCGAGGACACACACATCTCATTTATACAGACAACCGTGCAAACACCGCACAAAACCATGGCAGCCTGCACGCTCACAGCACCAACATCACCGCCGATGGATGGATGACCTTGTGCGTTCACGCTCAGGTCACCTCGAGCGAAAACGCGTCCACGGTGAATCCACACCGAGTACAACAAGTGCTCCGGCGGCTGCTCTGCTGTCTGACACACAGTCACCACACATTGCCACCTTGGAGGGGTGTATGCAACACCTCCTCGCTGCTATCCAGTGCGGTTTTAAATGGTGAAAGGCAGGAATTATACAATCAACATCAGGATCACCACCACCATCAGCTTGCTGGAATGACCCCCTCCCACAGCATCAGCACTTGACATCAACATGACACACTCAAGGGCATCCGGCAAACCAACGCGAGAGCTTTGAACTACACAGGGTGCATGGGTTTAAATGAGCCTCTATCCATCTACACGGATGGCCGCTGGAATCTTGTTTTTTCCCCCTCACCTTTGCTGTTGTCTTCTTCTCTGTTGAGATGCATGACTCTTCTTACAGTGTTGCGCTCATTTAGGCTTCAAGCTGTGCTCTTTGTCAAAAGAGTTCTCCGCGTAAACTCTTATTCCAGTTCTTCTGAGGCTTATTGTCTCGCTCGGCTGGCACGCATGGACGCGCCTGCACTTGTGCGTCCTCCTCCCCTTGTTTGTGCCGGAGCAGGTAGTCTAGGTGATGTTGGGAGTCTGCATGTATTTGGTCTCTCTCACTTTCTTCCCCTCCTCTGCCTCCCCTCAGTGTCTCCCTCTCTGAGTCGCTCAAAGGGATGGTCGCGGCGGAGCTTTTAGGGAGGAGACGGTTGGCAGACGGGCGGGGTGACGTGAAGTAAGTCGGTAGGAGGTCGTCTCCTCGCAGCAGAGGCGAGGGATCGGTGCGCCCTCAGTGGTGTTGACCATTTGATCAGAGGTCCTCAGCATCACAGGGACGCTTTACACCCACTCTCACATCACAGCACACACTGATGTGCAGCACATTTGATCAGAAACCACAACAGGATGCTGTCATGCGTAATTCGCATTTCTACAAAGGCCATTATCGCTCATATTTACAACCAAAACGCTATGGCATCCAGCTCAGGCTGCTTATAGCAACTCCATTCGATCAAAATAGTAATTGTGACAGAGAACTGATTCCAATAATCAATACACATCAGCCTATAGGAGTGTATAGATTACAGTATGGGACTGTGCCGAGAGAATAAAGAGCGCACGTGAAACCACAAGTATAAAGACATCTCTGGTACTGTGGCCAGCAGCACTGCAAATTCATGTTTTGAGTTACAATCACACAATCGCCCCCTTATATATCGATCACTCCAATAGCGATGATTTCACCCTGGGAAAAAAAATAATAGCATCCGTGTGAGAATCGCACATTTTTACGCACAACCTGCAGAAGTTGTTGGGGCTGCGCTGAATCTCTCGCTTACGTGTCTTTCCAGCTTTTTCATTAGTGTCAGTGTCATGGGCAGCGCGCGTGCTTTCATCATCATCATCATCATCATCATCATCATCATGCCATTACAACCAACAGGCCCGTGCACAGGATCATTTACTCACCGTTCACGTTCGCCCGGAGCCACGAGTCTCACACGGCTCACTGGCGGTCTCTAGTGGTGAGTGTTGATCAGTGGCAGTCATGTGGATGTTAAGAGATGGAGACCATTCTTCGTATGGGCTGTTAAAGAAAACATACGTTTTAGTGAGCTCCTTTTTATAAACTGTGCTTATTATTTGTGATCTTGGATTACGTTAATGAAACTAGACTATTTTTTTTACTAATATCACTAAACTTACAATGTGCAATTAGTGTCTCACTGGCAGTGAAATGTAATGTTCCATATTACAAAAAATGATTGTACTTTTAATGCAGTCGTTAATGGAAATGTGTCTTTCACTGGCATATGGCACTCAATGCAGCACAGAAAAAGTACAATACTTTACCCAAAATAAAATTTCAGAAAAAATGGAAAACACTTTATGTTAACAGGAGTCTAAATTTAAAATTGAGTAAAAGTTGACCTATGGCAATCACAAATTAAATGTGCCGTGTACCTGATCAGCTTAATGTGTCCAAGGTTCATCCTTTAGGGGTTAGGTTTAGGCAGCTATTCAGCTGCATAATGGCAGTGGGGATAAAATGTTTTTAAAAGGCATTATGTAATGCTATAGTGAGGAAACAAGACGATCTTGACCTACACAAATCTTAAATCTTATCTACAATATGTTGTAACAGCCTTTTGCCAACGAAAAGGGGAAAAAAAGTATAGATTCAATCCATTTTTCAGAAGAAAAGCCCATAGAAACATGATTGACATGTCTTGACGTGTTTTTCAATTCGGCACATCTGTATCTTGGGAAACATCTCTTCATCAGTTTCATGCTCTGCTGTGTTGAGTCTCATTTTGACACTTGTTCCTTTGTTCTCCCACAGGTCGCTTTCTGACACCTCTCTCGTGACAGCCCTTCTGGCATCTTGTGTAATTTTCGTGCAAGGCAGATAGTCCTCTGTTACCACCCTGCTGGTTCTGCTTTGCAGCACGTGTGGAATCTTCTTAATCTATTGTATTCACAGAGCATTCATCCTTGAGACATTTGACACAGACGGCTTTTTCCAACTCCATACTTCACATTGCATCAGCTCTCTTCCTCACGCCCTCTTTTTTCTCCCACTATCTCTGTGATGAATATTTATTAGCCTGTCACACAGTCTTCTCTGAACTCAAAACAACACATTCATCAGCCCAACCACAGCCACGCTTTAATCCTCCAGCAGTTTTCACTATATTGTGTAATTTCTCAACAAAGACTTGTTCAGGCTCCGGGACGTTGAGAGCTCTCACAAACTTCAGGTAATTTAAGAGTCATTACATTCCAATCAACACCATTATCATAATTGTTATGAGCATTGAAGCAACACAGCTGAGCACCTCAGCCTTGGGAATAATGTGCTGTATATTTCCAGCATGTTTACGGGCCTTAATGCACAAGAATGATACAACAGGTGAGCAACATATATGATTCCATGTACACATATATCACTGTGCTATAGTGTAGAGGGTCAATATGTTATTTATATAGTCTGTCATCGCCATCTTAAGTGCCCAGACAAGTTTGGTTTCTATCCTCCATCTTCCTTTACCATCCTCTGCATTTGTGTGACAAATGAGTAGCATTTTATACCCCCCTTCATAGATGGTCAATGTCACAGAAACAAAAAGAGAGATGGACCACCTGTCTCACCCAGAAAACCACTTTCAAATATTGATGTATTGAGATGCTCTGCAGACCTAAGAATCTCCTCCTCTCTAAAAAACACACAACAGCAGTAATTTTGGAAATACTAAAAATGTTAGTTTATTTTCGGTGCCAACGAACTCACGCAGATGTAAACATAAACTCTTGGTGGAGGTAAATAATCTGATTGTAGTTGAGGAACATGTGGCATCTAAAACGAAACAAGAAATCGACATCTGAAATCATGCAGAAGCATTTATCATCAAAGAAAAAACACTGTAAAGGTTTAGAGAGCTGCTGCAACATCACAACTCCAAAGAGCAGTTTATGACATGTTCTGAATTGCTCAATGAAACAAGGATGAACTAATGCACCAATGAAGACAAATCACTGACCCATCAGCACAATATTCAAAATACAAATCACATTTGTTCACTATATGATCATCAAAACAAGGCAAACTCACATTGGTCATGTACACAATCCAGATTGGAAAGGATGAAGCCTCCACCATGCAGCCGGCCAGCCAGGTGACTTTGTTCAGGAGGAAGTGAGTCAGGTGAGCTATAGCTTCCTATGTAGCCTCTGTAGGTGGAGCCTCAGGAGGAAGTAGTGGACCAGGTAGGTGGGGATTTTCCACTGTGGTTATTGCCAGATATTACACATTATTCCACTCTTTTAAATGATTTAAGTGATAGTGGTGTGAACCATTATGGTTTGAAACGCTTCCGTCCTAGATAATATCCTTTGGTTCAACAAAATTGGATTGTGAATGTCCCAATAAAGAGGTTTGCACTGAATCACGAAAAATTATGTCTAGTTTTAGCAAGATCAAATGTTTTAGCGGTCTGATTGTGAAGCCACAAGTATTAATTATCCTCCTAGGCTATTTCTTTCATTACATTAAAAAAATGTGAAACAGACCAGAGATCCACGGGGGCTAAAGCTATCAAATAAAATGAAAGCAGAGCATCAGAATAACAAACCTCTGTGGCTGGGGAATTTTTTTGCAGTGTCTCAGATATTCAAATGAAGGAATTAAAGGATTGTATGAGACTGAAGGACAGGATTTATAAAATATGGATGCACTGACCCATTCAGAAACCTTTATTACGCAGCTTTTATTTACTGCACATGTTTGGTTTAGCCCCTTCAGTTTTTCCAAATTTTTTGTGTTGGAGATGAATTGATGAATCTCCAATGAAACCAATAAATCCACACTCAATAAACTAAAAATTAAAAAGCAAAAAAGAAGAAATCTTTGAAATTTTGGAAATGTATCACAAAAACATGCAGCTATCATTCACAAAAGAATTCAGATCACTTAATATGGCTCCCAAAATATGGTCAGGTGGGTTAACTTGTGTCAACTTTTCTTAAATATCCTTTAGATTTGTCTAGAACTCCATTGGTGTATGCATGTGGCAAATTGAATTGATCAGACCATGTTTACAATGACACACACTTGTGTACTTTGGTCACACTGCAAGTCGGGAGAAAAAACATAACATGAGGTCCGAGGAACCCACTTCTGACCTCTGCGGAAAAAAAACCTGATGATGCATAGATCTGGGCAAATCCGGTGTAAAACAAATGTTAAAGCTTTGTTTTGTTCCAAGGAGCTGATTAGGCTCTAATTTTAAAAACTAAAACATTTAGAACCACCAGGTCTCTTCTTAGAGTAACTGGCCATGGAGGGCCTTGGTCAGGAAGGTAAACAAAAACCTGAAGACAGACTACCATCTCAACAGCGCTCCATCAGTTAGGTATTAATGGTCAAGAGGCAAGTAAGAAGCCAAGCAAAAGGCATTTGAGTCCTATGGTACCAATTTCCAGACATCCACCCTCATCGCCTCCAGTCTATGTTTCAGAGTTGTTCCACCTGTCCCTCTGTCCAACTTCTTGAGGGGTCTGGCTTTGCTACAGAGTTCCTGTTCACTCTCCTGCTTGCCTCACTATCCAGTGCTCTCAACCATCTGCACAGGCTCCAGAGAGCCTCCTGCTCTGCCTTCAGAGAGACCCTGCCTTTGCTGGTGCCCTCCCAAGTGGCTCAACCTATCAGTTTGGTCTCTGGGTCATCCTCCCAAGCAGCATGGCAGGTCTGCTCAGCCTGGAAGTTAGCTCTCCTGATGTCCTGCCCTGGGGTCAGACACCCAGGCTTCCCTGCACACTGGTTCTCCAGCCCTCAGGCCATCTGCTTGAGGTCTTCTGCTGTGCCCCTACTCAATGCTCAGGTTATTGCCCTGAGATTCCAAGCCCTACTCCTCTGCTCCCTGTCCACTGGCCCCGTGTATTCCCATCAGGAGGGATGTGTCTGCAGAGTGCCCTCTACTGCCCCTTTGTCTAAATGATGATGCACACAGGAGAATATACAGTAAGTGATGGCTTAATATTTTACTAGTGATTGACTGAACAAATGCTGTGGTTTCTCCAAAAGACAGTCGATTGCAGCAGTGAGCTTGTGAAGATACTTGTAATATCTTGGAGTGGAGAGGAGTTTAATAACTAAAAGGCAACAGCAAAGGGAACTGCCCCAGCAAAGGGAACTGCCCCTTGTCACTGTACTTTCTGGTAGTGATACAGTTGGTATAACTTTTAACAAATTCTGCAATTAAAAAACACTTAAATAATATTCCTCTATATTTTATCATAGTTGATTGTTAGATCATATGTTGCATGAATGAGAACCAGTTCTTTGTTGGTGAAATAATGTTGGATCTCTGCAGCATTTGTGGATTTAATATGACAGATTTCAGCTCTGTCCATCTGTGACCTGCCCTTGGTGCTTCACTCAGCTGTAATGTTGAGACATGGCCACTCAGTGGCAGTGTTAGCCTCCAGCTGACATCTGAGACTGAAACGCTTTAGAGGCAATCTTCATTGTTAGGTCCTTCATAGTAGTAGTTTGTAATATTTAGGGGAATCTGTCAACATGGAATATAATATAATATTCATAATTGTTTTCATCTGTATATAATCACGTGAAATTAATAATTTGTTGGGTTTTTATTACATTTGTATCTTCCATTGAGACTGACATGTTTCTACAGTAGACACTGGTTCTATCTGAAGTGTTTCAGGGTTTCACATTCTTGGAAGGGGAAGGTGACTGGAAGTGTATGCATACACTGAACCTTTATGGTTTATTTGAATCATGAAAACCATAATGACCAAGTTAATCCATTGTTTTTGAGGGCTCATTGAAAATTTGCAATTCATTACAGATGGTCACATTTCTTCACATTTTACTAGCTTGGCTTTAATGTAAGCCTGTCACGTGGGGCTGGTCCGATGCATGGAACATGACAAGTACTGTGTTTGTGATTGGTTGTTTGTTTGTTTTCTGAAAATGCATTAGATAATACTATTCAAATGGTTTCTAAATATTTTTGTTGTGCAGCAGACAAAAGTGGTTGAGAGAGTTTTTGAGGAGTCTGACTATGTTGTTACGTTTTACTTTTTGTTTTTTGAAACATTGTTTTGTTGGCTATCTCTGTGACCCAAGTATATATGATTACACACATTTACACAACAGACCTTCAACTGCGGGCCAATTATAGACTGTATATAAAGATGGACAATGTGACTGTACACTAGCAGTAAAATAACAACATCATGATCGCCACCTGGTGGCTGGTGTATAAGGGCACGGTTAGAGCAAATATCGCAGGTTCATAAAATCTACGCTGTGATTGGCCATGCCATAGGATACTAATGTTTCATTTACTTCCTTTCTCAAATTGGAAATTAACGGCAGGCAAAGATTTGTCACTGATACATATGCTTAATCAGGCTCTTCGTCAGAGCTCCTGCCTCCTCGACGTCACTGGTAACTGTATATGTTGAATAACTTTCTCAAAGGTGGCTTCAGTTATTTAAGGAAGTTCCTCTAGCACTGATAAATGTTAGTGTGTTCAAATGTCTGTCATCTGATGCTTTAAGAATGGAGGGGAACGTCATGATTGACAGCTGAGACTGACTCCTGATTGGTCGAGGGTGTGTGTGGACCGTACTTCTGCGCAGTGTGTTTACGAAATGCGCGACATGGCAGCTGTAGCATCCGGGATATTATAGCTCCATTTCTGGGTGGTAGGCGGAAATAGACACGCGTCGTCCAGGGAGATCATCATCATTAGGAAGCTGTCAGCAAATCATGAAGCTAACATATACAAACTGATAACACATTTGACGCAATTAAAATCAAATTAGCTTTAATACTCGTTCATGTTAATTTTCGAGAACACTGGGCTTTTGTTTGTGCTGATGTTTATGTGGTGACGGGTGGAGCTGCCCGGGCGGAGATAGCAGGCTCAGGCGGGGCGGGCGGTGTTAGTTCTCGGGGCACCAGACGACTGCAGTGGGCTCGCTCAGTGTTTCTATACAGGTTCCGGGGCGCTGCTGCCAGCCGCTGTGCCTCCGTAACGTGACGCTCCTCAGTCGGTCAGACACACACCGAGTGATGCGAGAGCGGCCAGCGCCACCATCCCTCACTCATCCGAACAGGAGGTGACTCGTTCGGCGCATGAAATTCCTCAGGTAAGTAGAACCAGCTGTGTTAGAACAATATGTCACGACGATGAAGCCAATCGCCGATGAACCGCTCAGTCAGTCGAGCCGTTGAGTGAGGCTCTTCTCCGGAGGAGGAGGAGGAGCGGCGGTGGATGGATGCTGATCTCCCTCTAGCCTGTGGATGTGTAGCCTGGGCGTCGGTGCTAGCAACGGGGCGCTGAGCTCTGACTGATAAAAACAAACACTCGCTTTGGGTGTAGTGTGTGATTCAGGCTGAACAGCGTTAAAAGACGAGTGCTGTCTGTGGAAGTGTGTTCACACCAAAAAACCCACGGTGATTCATCCCTGCGCAGATCCGGTCTACGCCTAAATATATCGATTGTACTTCTGTTAACCACAGGCCTTTAGTGTCTCATCAGATGGGGAAGGTCATCAATTTTTACACGTTCTCAATGGTCCTATTCCTGCACCGTTTGTACCTTCATCTGCAGGCTGCTCTGAGTTCTCTTGGTGGAAATGGCTTTTTCAATCCTGATATATCTGCTCATTTCTTTAATCCTCATCCCTTTAACACACACATGTCTAATTTAATCCCATCCATGGTGCCAATCACTAAACTGAAGTTGAACACTCGTTCTCTACACCCCTGCATGGAGCATCTACTGTAAGGTTTCAAGTTGGGTTGGACCTCAGTGAAATTAATCTGTATCTTACACTTGGTGGAGGGTTTTTCTGTTTGTCTGTTTTTTTTTTATTGCCTTCATTCAGCCTCGCCTGCTGTGTACCACTCTGAGCCAGCACCAGCCACCGGGGAGGGCAGTTGCTGACAGGCGTTGTGTCTGGCTGTTCATTGTTCAGAGGGAGCTGGGGACATGGCTCGCAGGCTCTGCTTTGCATCCTGCAACATTACATCCATACCATCTGTCCTCACCCAGTCATGCAGAGTGCTCCTCGGTCAGCCACTGTCCGATTGTGATGTGATATGTCTCCGGGCTTTTCTGAAGTCTCCTTGTGTTTTTTTTTTCATGAAGCAGTGAGTGTGTTGTCCCTGTAGTTGATGCAGTCCACAGTGGAATGACTATACACCACATGTTAACATGCATCAGTGTAGTAGCAGGAGTGTAAACCTTATTCATGATACAGTAGGATTTAGATCTTTAAGACTTCCATTCATCATTCAGCTCTTTTTCAAGTGTTAAAAATGTTTTTTTTTCATTATTCTGTGGCGAAATAACAAAATGACAAAAAAATGCTTAATTGTTAACAAAAGTGCTAAAAAGTTTCCCGGTTCTCCCCCTTTATCCAGATCTGCACCAAAATGTAATGGATTAATCTGTGGCCCATGTCCCATCCTTCCACACAAGTTTCGTGGACATTTTTTCAGTTCTTTTTGTGTAATTTTGCTTACAAACAAACGAAGAAGTACAAAAACCCACCACCAAACAAACGGACAGGGGTGTAAACATAATGATACAACATGGCTCAGTGATATGAATGCAATCACTGGATAAATATATTTTAGTATTCCACTCATTTGAATCTAGAAGTAAATATTTGGATTTTAGGTTTCTGAGAATAAAAGCCAAGAGTTCAGGCTTGTACCTTGAGGAGGGGAGAGAAGACGGAAGGAGCCGGAAAACAATTGCTGTGGTGCAGTTGAGGAAGAGAATGACGACCAGGACTATGGAGGATGAGTGCAGATAGAGGAGAGAAATGTATGGCTCTTAGAGAAAGTGAGGGGCCCCCGGAGAGCCATGACTGAAATCTATAAGGCCTTGGAGGATGCATACAACATTTTGACCTGCTGCTGATTTGAAAAGAGGAGAAGCTTAGATTTCATCATTATCCTGCTCGTCCTGTGGTTTTGTGTAGGTCTGTCATCTCTTTTTCTACACTGTTCTCTTGTGCATTTATCTCTGTTACACCCGTTTTGTCACTCCATCTCAGTAGCCAGGGACAGGTTTTCTGAGTAGCACCTGCACTGAAGGACAAACACCCTCCTTACTGTCTGCTGCAGCCCGAGGATGCTAAATCGGACTCTGATGGGGGAAACAAAATAGGGCAACTGCCTCGAGCCCTGCTCCACAATTTATGAAGGATAATAACTATTTAGAAATGTGTGATTAAACCATTATCATATCAGGGCAATCGATCTAAACACTAGGTCTGATCAAACAGCAATATCTCTTTAGCAGAAATTAGTCTGCCTCACTGTGGCAGCACGCATGGCAGTGCTGCAGGAAATTCAGTTATCTGTTACATAATATCATGTGTAATATCTTCTTAAAAGCTTGGCTCGATACACTATGGATTTCACATGTCATACATTGACATTGTTTCTGATGCTAAAACATGTTAGTGTGGGCGGAGGGACAATAACACGCTATTGTGCCCTCTGGCAAAAACATGATTCCAAGATAATAAACCTACAGATGAATCCACAGGGTGGGTGTTGATTTCCATGTTCCAAAACTGTTAAAAAGGCAACTGAAATGATGATTTATGAGAAGGCTTTTTCAAGATGAGTGTTCCTGCAGTGTTATTACGGACAATTGCGCTGCTGTAGAATTGCTTTGTGAATTAGCAATTGAGGCAAGGGAATTTCTGTCTATCAGGATTTAGCATGTGGAATTTATGAGCTGTAAACCACACAGTTGATGTGATAACTAGCAAACAGAGACGTGCAGAGGGATTACAGATTAGTGTATTCTACACCTTAAAGCTTGTTGTAGGTTAATCACTGGAAAGGAATTTATTTGAATATGATTTTTTAACTTTTAAGTGACAGTCTAAAATTTGATTGCAAATCAAAGGAAGTGACCATCTGACGGTAAAAATTCCAATTCCACCTAAAAAAGG